ACTGACTCTAATTCGCGTTTGATTTTAATTTGTTTTACGCCCGTTCACTGACTCTACAACTAATTTAAAGACTGCTTTGCACACAGTTTATTGAAACAAACAAATTTCAAACTTTATTTTAATCCCGAAACGCGTTGAATTTAAAATCTTCATTGATGCACTGACTCTAGTACGCGAACAGTCTGTGCGACTGTTTAAAGATAAAAATACAACTTTACTCGAACAAATTCTAATGCAATTACACTGCATTGGTCGCAGTTAACTTAATATATAAATTTCAAAAATAGTTTGCGAACGCGACGGAATTGAAATTAACGAACGAACGTGCTTCTAATCCGTGATTTTAATTATATTTAAACGATCAAACACTCCCGTATATTGCTTCGCGCACGATTGCAATGCACGAACACTTGTAACACTTCACAAACACTTCCAACACTGCAATATTCCCTTGATGATATGAAACAAAAATAAAAACAAAATTATGAATATCATTGTTGTAAGAAAAAATTATTATAATTGCTAAGAAAGTGTTAATAATAAAAAGTGACTTACGTTTATTCTTCAGTGATGAATGCACGATGGGTTTCCTACCCTTAGAATGACGATGAGCACACGTTTAAATCGAATAAAAGAAACTTACGAAATTTCTTTACACGAAAAAACGAAACTTTTACATACGGCGTACAACACTGACTCTACTTTTCGATTCTTTGATATTTTATTTTATCGATGCAACATACGAGTACTTCATTGCCTACGCGCTCGATTGCAATGATGTTCTGAAACAGAAAATGAAAAAACAACAATTAATATCATCGTCGAAATAAAAAGACGATTGAAAAATTACCATAGAAATGTTTGATAGAAAAATTCTACTAACTTGTAGTCTTCAGTGATGAATGCCCGATGGGTCTCCTACCCTTAGGATGACGATGAATAAAATAAAATAAAAGAAAAAAATCTGAAAAGCTGAAACATACTAAAGATTATATTATAGTACAATATTCCTTGTAAATCATTCCTGAAGGAATTTCACACACTTTAAAAAATATTCTATCATAAAGAATCAATGTTAGACATAAAAAGTTTTCTAATCAGCGCAATTGTCGAATGTTTTAATTAGATAACGTTAGAAATAAAATTATTAAATAGTTTAATATATACGCCACGTTCGCGTTAGATCTTAACTCGTTGAAGGACGGAAGGGGAATGAGATACGTTACTGCTTATCCTTCGTCCAACGTTCGGCTGTTTACGTTTTGTATTCGGCTGTCTTTCTTCTGTTTTCACCTCGAGAAATTCCTCTCTCTCTCTCTCTCTCTCTCGTTCTCACTCTTTCTATATAGCTTAAAAAAAGAATAATGCTTACCTCGATGAATATAAAGATAAAAAAGAGTAAACACAATTGTTAGACTGAGTATATGTATTCGTTCTGGACTCTCCAATGCTCTCGAATGCTAAAAAATTAAAAAAAATAAAATTACATTAGTACAATATAAAGAAAATCAAATATATGAGAGTATGTGTACGAGCTACCGATACTTATGTATATATGCCTGTATGTGCGTGTATGTGATAAAAGTCAAATTTAATACGAAATACGATCTTTAAAGACATAATTATGAAAAATAATTAATTAGAGCATCATTAGAGTTGGTAGTAATTATCGATACCATGAAAAAAAACTGGAAATTAGAAAATATTATTGTTAAGTAATATTTAAGGTAAGATTTGGCGCGAAGCCGAGATACATTTTCACGGATATCTTTCGAACTTTTTAATATTTTGTTTTGAAAACACTCACGTATATATATAAAAATCTTGCTTTTTACACATGCACAACTTCCGGAAAGTCAAATAAACAAAATTTAATAAAAGTAATTTTATAGATGATAATGAGATTCAGTTCAACGGCGAATTTCGAAGAGGAGGGTACATAAATCATATATTCCAAACTTTTAAACAACAATTAACAAGTATTTTAATATTCTAATACACTCTCTTTATATGTCAGATTGTTTAAACATATATGTACTAGTATAAGCATTACATACTTATTGACATACTTTAAATATTAATAATTTCGATGTGTTATTTTTTCGATGAAAAGTCCTCCCTCTGATTTTATTACTGCAACGGGACGTTAAACAAATGTAAAATAGTTTAAACAATTACATACAAATTGAAATAATGCTAAAATCAGAACTTTATAATTTTAATTTCTAGTTATTACAATTAATTTTTTCGTTACATACAAAAGAAACTTTCGGAAAGCCATGTAAACAACATTCAATAAAAAAAACTTTTTTATGTGACAATATATCAGAGAGTCTAACAGAAGATTTCGAAAAGGAAAGTACAAAATAAGGTACATCAATATTTTTAGATTACAATATATATTTCTATCGATTAATTAACAATTATTTTAATATTTTAATACACTTTCTTTATATTTCAGATTGTTTAAACATATAAGTACTAGTATTAGCATTACATACTTATTAACGTACTTTAAATATTAAATAATTTCGATGAAAATTTCGCCCTCCGAAATCACCACTGCACAGTAACGTTAAAACAAATGTACATTAGTTTAAATAATTACATAAAAATTAAAAGAATGTAAAATCAGAACGTTATAATCTTAAATTCTATCGAGTAGATGAATTATTCCCTTTATACACATGCGCAACGTTCGAAAAGTCATATAAACAAAATTTAATAAAAATATTTACATAGAAGACAAAGTCTCATTTCAACAATAGATTTCGAAGAGAACAGTGCATAAATCATATATTCCGAGCTTTTAAACAACAATTTACATTTTTTCCGATTATTTAACAATTATTTTATTAATCTAATACATTCTCTTTTTATTTCAGATTGTTTAAACATATATGTACTAGTATAAGCATTACATACTTATTAACGTACTTTAAATATTAAATGATTTCGATGTAATATTCTTTTCGATGAAAATTTCCTCCTCCGAAGTCACCACTGCACAGGAACGTTAAAACAAATTTACATTTATTTAAACAATTACATAAAAATTAAAAAAATGTAAAATCAGAGCGTTATAATCTTAATTTCTATTTAATACAATTAATATTCTCGTTACACACACATGCGCAACTTTCAGAAAGCCATGTAAACAATTTTCGATAAGAAAACTTTTTTATGTGACAACGTATCAGTCTAACAGAAGATTTCGAARAGGAAAGWAMAWMAWMAGSTAAATCCATGCTTTTGGATTACAATTTACATTTCCATCGATTAATTAACAATTATTTAAATACTCTAATAAACTTTCTTTATACTTCAGATTGTTTAAACATATATGTACTAGTATAAGCATTACATACTTATTAACATACTTTGACTAGAAAATAATTTTAATATATTTTTTTTTATGTGTTGCTTTTTAATTAGTTTTCTGTTAAGACTAAGAGTGATGTCCCTTAAAATCGTTCTCGGTTAGATAATCTTATTTCCTTTAAATTTAATTTGGATGTGGACATCTTCAGGATGCACATCCCTCGTGGGTCTTCGGAAGCGGTTATCTCCTCTTGGTTAGACTCGAGCAATGGTATTTTACTTTCAGTATAATGTTTAACATATTTTATATGTTAAACATTCGATTGCAAGTAAAATCCAGCCAAAGACCGCGTACCATAAACATTTAAATTGTAATTAGTTTCTTTCATTTTCCTATATGTATAATATCATATTTTCATTCCTTTCCTTTATTTCTTCTATCCATTTCACCTATAGTAACTAATTACTTTATAATTTCTTTTAATATTTTTGATATTTTTACAGGTGCTATACACAGAACAATCAAGAATTGTTAAATGCTTATTTTACTTTTTTTCAGAAGATGTTTAATTACAGTGCACCTTTTAAATCATTTTTATGTTTTTATAAATTCAACAGTGAACAATCAAGAATTGTTTTAATTCTGTTGTAGATAATCTACAAATTGAAGGAACCATTATGAAACCAATGAAGAATACATTTATTTCCTTTCTGTATTGTTCTTGTAAAAATATTTTTATTTAGTACCGAGAATCGATACAATGTGGTAATACTATTGCCAAAAAATACAGCAGAAGTACATAGAAGCTTACAAGTCCACTTTTTTCCTAACCAGATTTATCTTAGTTACTACCGAGACCACCAATGAGCGATAGTAGGTAAAATACTGTAATTTTTGATAGTTTGTACCGTCACCGCGTTAAATATCTGCTATTGCCCACTGGAGGACGCGGTAGTAACTAAGATGAATTTGGTTAGATAAAAAAGGAGACGTCCGTTAGGTAAATCCCCAACAAACTTTCAAATTACAAACGCTATCTATAAAAAATTTGCACTCAATGTATCGTTGTTCTTACAATTATTTTTTCAAACTCAAAGTTTTGGATCGTATGAAGAGTGGGACCCTTATGAGGGGTTCGTAGGTGGATAATTATTTCACTTAAATTTCATTCGGATGTGTATATCCCCTCGTTCTCACTTTTTTGTTTTCTTCTCTGTTCTCTTTCCTATTATAATTATGTCTTTTTGTATTTAATAATAATCACGTATTATAAGTTATTGTATTCAATTTAAAATATGTTTAAATATTATACGATTTATCGTATACATGGTTTTATTATAGTATTATACAAATATAATGCGAATTTTTATCAGTTTTATTTGGTAATTTATATTTTTTTTCTAAAACAGGTTCACATGAACAGAAAATCACGAATATTATTTAAATATTTATAAATGATATTCTCAAATACATTCTCAATTTATACATAAACGTATTTGAATAACTATGTAGGTTCATTATTATAATTAATGTAAATATATTGTATTTTTTTATGCACCGTCTGAAATATTAATGAAAGTGTTGTTACGTAACTGTTTTTTCCCGTTGAATTGATTTCTATACGCAGAAAACACTTTCATTCGTTCTTCTACCTCTATAAAGTAAATTTACTTAATGATTTTCTGTTTTTTGAAATATTCCGATAAAATAATAAAAAATGGCGTGCTGTTGTCTCTTGGTGTTTGTTCCCATTTTGTATTTTTTGCTGGACATTAATTATTTCCTCCGACTATTATTCACGCTCTCTACGTCCAAGTTTTTCCAAAAAAAGGCTAAAATAATGGACGAAACTACGATCTACGGTAAGCGTTTAAAAAATTCAAATTTTGTTTCCTTTTCCTTTTATAAATTTAGTGTCTCTCGTTTAATTTTAATTATTCCCAACGTCGAAATTATTATTTGATAATCATACAAATTTTATATTTTCACAATATCATCCATTATAACAAAGCACGACGTAATTAATTAATTTTTCATTGTAACATTATTACAATATTCTTATATTTTATTTTCGAGATAACTTAAAATTACTATTATCTTATGAAAATACTTTTAGGATGGATACGATTAATATGTATTTAATTAAAGATAAAACACAGAAATGTATCGATTCGTTTGTTTCTAATGCAGGTATGTGTATCCCTCAAGACTTGGATGCCATATTATCAAATATGAGTAATTCAAGATATTTACGTGAAATAGATTTTTCTCGTTTCCATTATCTTATACAAACCGAATTGTTTTCTGCTATGAGAAAAATGGATGTAACAGCAGTTCTCGGTGGATCGAACGCGAGATATCGACGACCGATTCCTTTTCTCATGATGTATAAAGTCACGACTAAGGTATAGATTAAACATTTTTTTCTTTAAATAAAAAGCTTTCAAAAATCTTATAAAGAAATAGATTAAATATCCGTATTGATTGAACTTTAGCGATTAAAAAAATGATATTATTCCATTGCAGTTGATTTATTGGGACGAAAAATCATTCTATTTCGAGCATAAGTTCATAAATCTTCGAAATAATTTCATTCATACGGTCATTCTCTCTAAGCAGACAACGATAGGCATGAAGATGCCAATTAATGAGTTTCTACAAAAATTTGAACCTGAAATTCGTTTACCTGAGTTACAAGAAGATCTCCGATTATGGATGGAATCAATGGAATATTCTTCTCAAAAACTAAGAAAAAAGGATTAGAGAAATTTCTTTCTTTTTTTTTCCTTTTCTTAAACTTTTTACAAAGTTTTTTATAGATTATATATATATTCTATTTTCTTATTAACATATCTATTTATTTTTAATTAAACATATTTTCTTTATCAAGTGTCTCTTTATTAATCAATAAACTTTTCCCCCAATGTAAGAAAAAAACAAATGTGTTTTATCTTTATAATGTAAATTAATATTGTATTATTTTTTATTCTTATAGTATACATTTTTTACGATAGAGGGAATAATAAAATATTATAATTGGTATTAAATCGTTGCAGTTTTTATCTGTTATCTACGAATGTTAAGCAATATTATATCTATTTAATGAAGAAAATATTTTTTTCCAGAGTATGATTAGGTGGTATATCTTTGTATTTGTGTATTGTATGTATATATTTTAAAAATTAAAAGGTTGAATTTTTATTATATTTAATGAAATCTATTTTATACAAACAATATGTTCTGACTGATACAATTCTCAATCATAATAATTGGCTACCTAAATTTGACTCGACGAGATTCGCTTCTTTATAAAATATTATTTTGCAAGCTTACATCTTATTAACTCTTTAAACTTATGACCTTTTACATTTGAATGAATCAACAACTCGAAACGATTTTGTGATTTCATAAAATGTAGCTTCTCATTCGATCGGAAATAACAGGTCATTCTACTAAAAGCCTTCACATATTAACCTCAGAACTTTATACTTTTATTTCCTTATATTTAATTATTTTTCTGATTACATAAATATATGATTTGATATCTGAAAAACTGTTCAATCTAAAACACTCTAACATATTTTAATGTAAATAAATTTCACGATTTTTTACTATTCGTAAAGATAACAATTGTTGATTTTTATAATATGTACTTTACTTTTTCAGTCAGTTGATAATATTACTAAAAAAAAGTCAATCATGAATTCCTTTAGTTCAATTTTGTAAACTTACGAATACGTTTTGATAGTATTAAGTTGTCCCATAAATTCTTTCCGCGCCATGCTATCTATGATTTCGAGCCGGCTATGTTTGTAGACATGCAGTCTTATTTATTGTCCATTTATGGCATCGATTTCAGTCGTCTTACAGCTCTTTCAAAGTACATTTCGTTGGTGACAAAGTCTCTCTTAAAATCTTTTTTTATGCCGTTTAATATACGATAGATAGCCAAAAGAAGCATTTGCGACATGTTATGCTTCATTTCTTTAAAAAAAGTAGTAATGCAAAGGACACTGTAGACGACATTTGCACCGTTTATAGGAGTGGTACTAGGACTATTAGAACCGTTCGCAAATGGTTTAAGAAATTTAGAGTTGGCAATTTTGATTAGAAAGATGGAAACCACAGTGGCCGCCTAGCAACGACGAATACGGACCTCATCAAGAGTATGTTCACTAAAAATCCACGATATAGTGTTCATGAGATAGTGAATGCTACTAACATTCTCAGGACAACGGTACATAATTATTTAAATCAATATGGGATATGTGAATCGGTACGAACCGACGAGATGTCATTTTTCATCACAACAACGCAAGACCGCATGTTGCGTTGTCCGTAAAACAGAAACTTTTACAGTTTTACTGGGACGTTCTATTTCATCCTCCGTATTCCCCAGACCTTGCTCCATCCGATTATTAATTGTTTCTCTTATTAAAAAATTCTTTCCGTGATAAATGTGACAAATACAAAAGCGAAATGCAAACGCATCTAGATGAATATTTTGCAAGTGAGTCTCAATAATTTTGGAAAGAGGGCATAATGAGGCTTCCTGAGAGATGGAAGAAGGTAATAGAGTAGAACGGTTCATATATAACACAGTAAATCAATATTAAACAATAAATCAAATTAGGTATCAATTAATAATCAAATTAAATATTAAACAACTCAATCAAATTAAGTTCTACTTCTTTTCATGTCCAAGTTCCCTATGAAATTTTATCATTAAACAATAAGTATCGTTTATTGAAGTCACATCAAAAAAAAGGAAGAAACTTATGCGACAACCTAATATTACATAAACCCGAGACTTTTAAAATTCGTGTTGTTGTATAGAATACGTTATCAGTTCCATCTGCTGTCTAAAATGAAAACTAGAAAATTATCTATCGATAAATTCTATATGTGAACTAGATCTTTAATCGTCTGAAAGTAAATACCAATATATTTTTTAAAGATAAATATTGTTTATCACCAATAGATATAATAAATATTTCAAATGAATTTCAGCAATTAATCGAAAAATGACACTAGGAGTACGATATTCGATCAAGAAGAGAACTAACTTAAAATTCATTTACATATATATTTATAGAGATACATAATAAAACAACTTTATATTAAAATATATATATCGTAAATGTAAATATTTTATTTTATGCATATATTAGATTTACAATATGAAACATGATATAATAAATTAATAATTGATATTTAAACACAACGCGCAGTAACATTGAAAAACAACTATTATATTAAAAAATTTGTCGTGTATCAAAATGTCTAATTCATGTCGGGTCCAATCATAAAAAAGACTTTTGCAAAACTTTTACAAAACTCCCTAATAAATTAATATGCTGTACGTTCGAAAGGACGAAAGGAAGGAAGGAAGGAAGGAAGGAAGGAAAATATTGAAAAATCGAGGAAAGGCGTAGCCGTGAAGAGGGGCAGGGGGAGGGGGGGGAGGAATATATCTGTTTTTGGCGTGGACATAAAAAACCCTAAATTCTCAGAATTATTCTGACGTAGGAGTGTATAAAAATCTTATCACGCGCGCGTGTGTACACCCTTTTTCGCACAAAGGGTGATATTGAAACATCATTGGGCAATTCGATGGACAATTCGATGCACGTGACTTTTGGTTATCGTATAAAAGAAATTTGGGTTGGGAGGTGGTAGTGGGGGGACACAAAAAAGAAATAGAAAAAAGTGATAGAGAAAGATGGAAGATTGAACGGTGGATAGGATACGCGTGGCTTTAGTTAGTTATCTGTGTTTGAAGGGTTGCCGAAGATATATAACCGAGGTCCAGCCGAGCTTTCAGCTTTTAGCGCGTTTCACTCGGATGTAGGTTTGGTCTATGCTTACTGGGCATCGTAATATCGACATATCTATATATATATATATATGTATATATATATGTCTAGATATCTATCACTTTTTTTTCCCCCCGAGGAAGATAGAAAGAGAGAAAGAGAGACAGGTTTGCAAGCTTGGTCCTCTCTCTACTACGTTCTCTGAGCTTTGACCTCGGAACTTTAAAAAAATAAGCCAGGACATTATTTTTCCACCCTTCTACGGATGCCAATTCGATGGACCTGTCCAGTTCCACTCCTCCTCGTCGTCGTCGTCGTCGTCGTCGTCGTTTCTACCAGAGCATAGCTTGCAATGTGCGGCATCAGCGAATGTGTAAAAATAAAAAGTAGAGAGAGAACTTTCTATGTGTGTTTCTATGTATTTATATATATATATATATATGCATATACATACGATCTACATATATGTATCAGTCTGTATATGCATATACATGTATATGTGACAAATATATACACATACACGCTTACGTACGCATGCACATGCACACATACTTATAAATATATATACATATATATATACGCATGTCATCTCCCTCGTCGCCTGCCTGTTCGTACAGTCGTTCCCGGGATATGGATATGCCCGCAAATATGTCGGAGCCAGAGAGCCATTTTCAATTCAATCTGTTAAAAGCACGTCAAAAAGTCATACGATATTTCACTGCAACGGTGAATCCCGATGACACTGCAGCTGCATCGCCAGCGGAAGAGCAGCGAATGATACGTAGGATTCGTATATGCGTTTTTGTATGTGTATTTATGTGTCTGTCCTGTATATATATAGTATGATCTATGAAACAAATTCACACATGTAAAAATTTAATTTTATTATGAAATATTTAAGATGAAGATAATTCGTAGAGAAACAAAGATAAAGTTTGATTTTCTTTCATTCTTTATTTTTATTCTATTCTTTTTTTATGTTTTGTATTTCACTTATTTTTGTTTGTTTGTATTCTTTTTTATAAGTATCTCTTATATTATTCATGGAACATTAAATTTGATAGATATCATTAATTAATTATAATAAATTTCAGTTAAATGTTTCTCATTTATCAGAAAACTTTACTGTTATCGCAAAAGTGCGAAAAATTGTATTGCTATTTTTTTCTTTTTTTTTTCTTTTTCCTTTACAATACAAAGTTCGTATTTGCATTATGTATTTTCAAAGAATTCAAATGCCGCTTACGTGGAAGCTTCATAATTGTATCTCTAGATGGCACACCTATGCGTTCGCCGTAAAAGCCGTTTTCTTCCCTTAAGAAGGAATGGAAAAGGGGGTGGATAGAGAAAGAACATTCCGAAAGGTGAGAAAACGTTCGATAGTTTTTTCGTAGCAGTGTCATTTATAAAACTAGACGGGGTAATGATTCATTTTTTTTCTTTTTTTTATCTTTTTTTCTTAACAGTAATTTAACGGATTCGTTTAAAAATAGATTTTTATGCTGGATTGAAACATAATCTTGATCGTCCTAGTGTTGTGTATTTTAAACGTATTTTAATGCGCACCAAAATGCACTCTTATATCAATAATTGTTTGCATAACTCTGTCAAGTTGTTTTTCCTGACTCGAGGTAATACCCTATAGTCGAGATAATTTCTTTGAAAAAGAATGTAAATACTTCTTAGCTAATCAATATTTTTGGATATCGATAAAATTTAATTGCCGATAAAATCGTTATTATCTAAAATCGTTCATCGAGATATTGCGTATTAAATAAAATAATATTTCGTTAAGGTATTTAATAGGATTATATACATCGAGCAATTAACACATTCGTAGAAAAACTCTTACATTTAATTAAATTATTTCGTGGAAATATTCGAATTGATAAATAAAGTAACCACAGTGTTAAGAGTATCAAAACAATTTCTTTCTCTCTTTCTGTGCCTTTTTTTAACTTTTTTCAAAACATATAACCTATATATAGAAATATAGTATATACGTGACATCAAAGCTATACACCATTATATAAAGTTAAACAGGCACTTTTAAATGAAATAAAGAAGAAGAAGAAAAAAAAAATAATGCACAAAGCATAAGGTTTTTTGTATCGAAAGAGATAAGCAAACATTCTCAAAAGCATCTTTTCTTATTAACGAATAAGAAGAAGAAGAAGAAGAAGAAGAATACGCAAGGAAAGCTTTCTCTAGCCTCGTTTCGGATAAAAAGTTTTTTCCCTTTTGAAAGTCATCGAAGCGTTTCCCTTCCCTTTTTTCCACGCCGCCATTATTATAATTCTCGACGATGAGCCTTCCGTAACGCCTCTTCTATTTTCGCGGTCAACCCTTTGATCCTTATCTCGTTTCCCGAAGCGAATAATAAATTATCATTCCGTAACATCTACGCAAACATGCTACCCTTTTCTGCTTTCTCAAAGTTATAAGATAGAAAAGAACCATGATGAGTAGAGTACTCTATACATATATGTATACATATATATATGTATACATACATAACGCGTATCGGTTTTCCGGTTTGGATCTCCCTCACGCCTATTAAATTCAAAAATAATCTGATTCTCGTAAAGCCACGAGCCTCTCTCATATGAATCCTTGTTCAGTGAACGGTAGCCGTTCGTGGTTGGCCGCGTTTAGAGAGAGAGAACATACATACTTACATATACAAAAGTATATAAACGTATATGTGTGTGTGCGAGTAATCGAGAGTAGTGAATAGTGGTGGTTCAGGTAAAAAGGACATAGGTAAGCAAAGATACGGGATCATAATGCGTACAATGCTTTTATTTCATTCTTATTGCGGGTAAATAACATCTGTACATTAGATCACTATAAAATCGTTCGTCATTGGTAACGACAATGGGGGGTTAGCGACCATTGAAAATCTCCTCTTCTGAAGTATGATTCAAAGGCACGTCGACGTCGTCCTCGTCCTCGTCCTCGTCCTCGGCTAGGATGACGGCGCTTATGCTAGTGTGTCGGTGGTGGTGGTGGTGGTGGTGGTTTGTAGGTGAACATTTATAGTACGCGCTGAGAGAAGAAAGGAGAAAAAAAATATACGTTCGTCCAATACAGTACGACGGCGAACGTCGACGAGGACGAGGACGAGGACGAGGACTACGATTACGGTGGTAGTGCTGTTGCCGACGGGGTGCAACGTTGGTAAGAGAGGCAAGGTGAGGGAGAGAGGAACTAGTAACGTCGAGAAAGAAATAAAGAAATAAAGAAAGAAAAGAAGAGAGAGAGAGAGAGAGAGAGAGAGAGAGAGTGAGAGTGAGAGAATAAGAAGAGGTGGTGGAGGAGGTGGAGGAGGAGGAGGAGGTTGGAAAGAACGACGGAGGCGTGTATAGTTAAAAACAGTTGGCCGAAACAAAAGGCGGAGCATACAGAAACGTCTGAGCATCGGTCCGCATTGTGTGTTTTACATTAAAACGGGTTTTAAATAAAAGAGTAATGTGTTGGTTCGTTGCATCGTTCCGGGGGTGGTGAAGAGAGAGAGAGTGAGAGAGAGAGAGAGTGAGAGAGAGTGAGAGAGTAAAAAAGAAAGAAATAGAAAGAAAGACGTTGCCAGTAGTAATGATGATGGTAGTGGTACGAATGTTTCTCTCTCTGTCTCTCTCTCTCTCCCTCTTTATATATATATATATATATATATTTGTCTCTCTTTCTCTCCACAAATATAATACTCACATTGATGATGTATATTGTACAGAGAGAAATACTTACACACGTATTCACCTATAAGTGAGTTAGATAGAGAGGGAGAAACGAGTGGGGTCGGAGGTGGGTACGCGACTAGGTATGTCCCCTTTTAACTCTGGCAGAAATAAACTCTTAACATCTCCAGGGAACCACTCGGAGAACCAATCGGAGCTTGCCACGGGCGTGGCGTCCCCGGCAACCGTCCCTGTGTTTGGCTGAGAGCTTGGGGTGGAACACTGTGGCACAGTGTTTTATTTCGCGCGCCTCTCTCCTGCGTAGAGGGGTTGTCGGAGAGGTTGTCGGAGGGGCTGGCGGTTTCTCGGCCCTATCCCACACCGATAAATTCTATCGGGGTGGCTCTCGTTGCGTTCAAACCAATCCCTCCCTCCCTCCCGCCCTCCCTCCCTCCCTTCCCCTCTCACATCATTCTAGGTAATGTTTTTCTCTTTCTATCTCCCTCCCGCCCCTCCACTCCTCCCCGTCACTCTTTCATTTCCCTCTCCCACTCGAAAGATTCCACTTTCTACGCGGTCACCGTCGACACTACCACACCATCAGACTATCACTAGCTTACCCTCCGAATAGCAATACCAGTCTCAACACCCTCTTCCTCCTCTTCCACCCTCTTCCTCCTCTTCCACCCTCTACTCCTCGTCCTCTCTCTCTCTCTCTCTCTCTCTCTCTCTCTCTCTCTATCTCTATCTCTATCTCTCTTTCACCCCCTCCCTCTGCCGGCGCACGATACCTGAATCGACTCAGCCGAGAGATGCTGCAATTGTTGACAGTGGCGGAGCGCGAGTAGAGTTGAGACTCTGAGTATAAGGGAGAAAGAGAGAGAGTGAGAGAGAGAGAGAGAGAGAGGGGGAGTAGGTACCGGGAGACAGGGATAGAGAAAGAGAGAGACAGAACGAGGTGACCCGCCGATCCCGCATTTTGCTCCCCGACACTCGAACGCGCGGGTCCTTTCCTTTCTCTCTCTCCGATTACTTCCGAGACATTTTCGAAAAGTGTGCGCGACCCTCCTGGCTCATAGTTATCTTTCTCGTATAGTCACTTTCATTTCTTCTCCGAGCTGGATCCAAGTACGTGATAGATATATATAACTATATATATATACATATA